TCTAAGGGGGTCAGTTTTCTCTAAGGGGGACAGTTTTCTCTAAGGGGGTCAGGTTTCTCTAAGGGGGTCAGTTTTCTCTAAGGGGGACAGTTTTCTCTAAGGGGGTCAGTTTTCTCTAAGGGGGTCAGTTTTCTCTAAGGGGGTCAGTTTTCTCTATGGGGGTCAGTTTTCTCTAAGGGGGTCAGTTTTCTCTAAGGGGGACAGTTTTCTCTAAGGGGGTCAGGTTTCTCTAAGGGGGTCAGTTTTCTCTAAGGGGGACAGTTTTCTTTTAAGGTTTAAAGTTTGAATTCAATAAAACTTGTTTTTAATTTTCGTGGAAGTTTAATCGTTTTTAAAAAAATAAAATGTTTTCTTTGATGTTTTGCAGATGAATGAAAACAGGAAGTGAAAGTCTTCAGGCGTGGGCGGGGCCATGTGTCACTCTGTGGAGGCTCTGCGCTCTGATTGGCTGCTGCCAGCGATGGAAACTTCCACAGGAAGTGGTGGAGCTGCAGCACGCCGCCTGCGTCACAGACGGAGACGGCTGTGGTTTCTGCCCCAGAGCATGCTGGGACAGGAGGGGGAGGGGGGGGGCAGGTGTGGGAAACAAACAGGACCACTTCCTGTTCACTTCTAAAGATAACACCTGCTGAGGGACCAGACCAAGACCTGCTGAGGGTCCAAACCAAGACCTGCTGAGGGTCCAGACCATGACCTGCTGAGGGTCCACACCAAGACCTGCTGAGGGTCCAGACCATGACCTGCTGAGGGTCCACACCAAGACCTGCTGAGGGTCCAGACCATGACCTGCTGAGGGTCCAGACCAAGACCTGCTGAGGGTCCAGACCAAGACCTGCTGAGGGTCCAGACCAAGACCTGCTGATGGTCCACAATAATGAAACAAAACTGGGTTTGGGTCCATGGAAGATATGTTTCCTCTTCATCCTCCTGACCCTCCTGATCCTCCTGACCCTCATGATCCTCATGATCCTCCTGATCCCCCTGATCTTTACTGATCCTCCTGATCCTCCTGATCCTCATGATCCTCCTGATCTTTACTGATCCTCCTGATCCTCCTGATCCTCATGATCCTCCTGATCTTTACTGATCCTCCTGATCCTCCTGATCCTCATGATCCTCATGATCCTCCTGATCCCCCTGACCCTCCTGATCCTCCTGATCCTCCTGATCTCCCTGATCCTCCTGATCTCCCTGATCCTCCTGACCCCCCTGATCCTCCTGATCTCCCTGATCCTCCTGACCCTCATGACCCTCCTGATCCTCCTGATCTCCCTGATCCTCCTGACCCTCCTGATCCTCCTGATCTCCCTGATCCTCCTGACCCTCATGATCCTCCTGATCCTCCTGATCTCCCTGATCCTCCTGATCCTCCTGATCCTCCTGATCCTCCTGATCTCCCTGATCCTCCTGACCCTCCTGATCCTCCTGACCCTCCTGATCTCCCTGATTCTCCTGATCCT